TATATATATATATATATATAATGTATATATACATATAAAGTACATAATACATGTAATGTATTAGGGATACGGGGGGTGTTCCCCACTGTTCACACTGAAGAAGAAAGTGCATCTCTGTCTCGACTTCACCTGTCATACAGTGACCACACAGTCTCTCCTCTCCGGGCAGCCAGGACTTTTTATATACTTTTTATATACACTGAGTCTGTACTTGGTCAGGATCTGTCTCTGCTTTGTATCTCGGGCAGTCAGGAGATACTCTTCCAGTTCATACTCTGTTTTTGGGGCCTAAGAGCGTTTTAGTTTACTTTGTGTTTTAAATTTCCCAGTGTTCCTGCTGTTTGTTAGGAGCTGTTAGAGAGTAAAGTAGTCTCTGAACCAGCTAACTAAGGGCACTCCTTTCAGGGTTCGGGTCTCGGTTCTGTAGCACCTTACAATGCAGCGTTTCTCTGGGACTTGTCTTCAATTGCATCCAGAAATGTAGTGATCTTTCTTGAATGTTTATTAACAAAGGAAATCTGCTTAACTTTGCCCTGCATGCATTGGTTGGTGTTTTTCTTTGGATTTTAAGGATCATCCTGCAGAATTCTGCATACTTGTCCCGTCTAGTGTAGCTGTGCTCACTGAGTGGACCCCATACTTTACTCCCATAAAGCGCAATGGGCTCACACTATCACACTATCAGATAGTTCTCACCAGATTGAGATGGAAATGTCAATACTGTAGAAATTCCTACAGATTTCTTAGAGTGCATGGCGAGCTTTTTCCTTTAGTGCAGGTAAGTGTACTGCATTGTGCGCTCCAAGGCTGCCCAGGTGAACTGGTACCTGCGTGCCTTACATTCCTTTATTAATAACAGTATATAATAGCTTTCTTGCCAGATTGGCACAGCTTGTGCTATTGCTCTCTCTCTCTCTCTCTCTGTTTCGTGCTGGGGTGACAGAGGGGCAGACTGATACAGTCACATGAGGGAGTTCTCAGGAGTGATCACTGTTCTGCTGTTTTCTACAGAGAGTGAGAGAGTACGAGAGAGAGAGAGAGAGGTCCATTGCATGTGTGTGTGTGTATGTGTGTGCGTGTGTCTGAAGGAAAAATCTAAAAACAGATCTCTGTTAATAATCTCTTAATGTCTCTGTAGCTTCCCCTGGACGACAATGAGATCAGATGGAAAGACAGCTGAGGCTTTCGCCCAAGTCTCTCCTGCTGCTCAGACATTTTTTTCTGTGAAAAAGTGCCCAGTAATCTCACACTTGTCTCCTCTTTATTTTTAGTAGACATCTCCATAAAGTCACACAGTGTGCTGAAATTTTGCCAAGATAGTAACCATCACATTTATTTGCAGCTGAACTAAAAACAGTAACTCAACTGTTTCTCATCCCGGACAAAAAGCCACTCTCAAATCAAATCAAATCACGTTCGTCACATCACATTTTGTGTATATACATTAGTGTACACCAGTGTTGCACCACTCCAATGTGCAGGTTTTGTACAGTAATGTAAGTTATAAAATAAAAGCTATGATATGTACAGTTGTACACATTGCCATATATGCAGTATGTGAGCCTGAGGTAGATAAATGAGATGCAGGGTACACAGGGGATATTATATATATATATATATATATATATATATATATATGGATAGAAGGTGTACAAGATGTCAGTCTATATGTGCAGGTATAGATTTGCTAGATAGAAGTTACAGTGAGATCACAGTGAGTCTGTTTGAGGTGTGGATGTGGTGTGGATCATCTGTGGAGATGATGATTCAGATGTAGTGACAGGCCTATAGACCGATACATCAGCACTACTGGCTGTTCTTTTTTCAGTGCATCGCACAAAGATGCGTGGGGCCGCACTGCATGGTGTCACGTAGCACATACAGCACAGAGTGCAGCTGCACCTCAGAGAATGAGTCACAGTGAGAGCGCTGATAACGTCAAGCTTAAGTTGCTTTTTACACTCTACTCTTATAAATTTATAATTTATCACTTAAATTTAAATTCTCAGCTGGGACGTGCTGAGAAATTGAACAGTGCTGGGAGTCACAGAGCTCCATTGCAAGGGCAGGAGTCGGTCCCAAAAAGAATCGATTCCTCGATTCTGTTCAGGAATTGAGAGTCAGTTCCAAAGCTTTTGGACTCGATTGGACAGTGACCCTCAGGTTTGCCCTAATGTGCATGCACACAGAAAGTGTGAGACATTCTGCTGTCACTGTCTAGACGGCCTGTCTGAAAACCACATCCTTTCACACCTCACACGTGATAGTCCAGCTGTACTTTACTTTAGACGAGGTGGAAAAGAAGTAAAATGTGAAAATTGTCAAAAGTCACATTTAATTAACATTGTATTCTTTATTTTTGCCAGATATCCTTCTCCATGTCTTGGTTCTTGGAATCAAGGTTGTTGTGTGGAATCAACCCTTGGAATCAGCTCTACTGATTCCCGTCACTTGGAATTGGCATCAGAGATGATTCCAATTTCAAGTGATGGGAATCAGTGGAGCTGATTCCAAGAGTTGACTCCACACAACAATCTTCAGATACTGCTCAGAATATAGCAGATACAGAGTGCAGCTGTACCACACAGAATGCTTTGCAGTGAGAGCGCCAATAACATCAAGCTCAAGTAGATTTTTACAGTCTACTCCTATAAGTTCATAATTTAAATTTAAATTCCCAGCTCGCCGAGCTCCGGTATAAGGGCTGGAGCCGATCCCGAAAAGATTCCAGACATTCAGGAATTTAGAGTCAGCTCTAAAGCTTCGGGCTTGGTTCCATACAGTGGCCCTCAACCCCTAGCTGCTGCGCATCAACGTCAGTGCCAGTGTGTGCACCTTCATTAAAAACAGTGATTTTGAATTTTTGGACACTGAGCAGGAGTGTGCCCGGTGTGCAGTGGCCTTAAGAGCTTTCTCAGTTTTGAAGCTGTGAATAACTATTATTATTTTTATCTGGGCCAGAAGCCTCATGTCTCCTTTTTTGTCTAATGATATGTCGATTAAGAAGTTATAGGAGAATCACCATTAAGTCTCCTGTGTGTGTTTTCTCTGCGGTTTAGTTGTCAGGTGAGTGTGTGACGGCTCTCCAGTGTGGTGCTTTTGTCACAGCTGTGCTCCATCAATCCATCGATCACTACCTCTGCATGGCTCTAGAAACACACACACACAGACTTAGCACAGGAGTTGCCTGCAGAACACAGTTTGTGCAGTTTTAAGCTGTGGAATGTTTAGAGCAGTATTGAGAGAGAGGGAGAGGGAGGGTAGAGAGAGAAAGAAAGTGGGAGAGAGAGAAAGAGAGTGGGGGGGGTGAGAGAAAGAAGGGAGAGAGAAATCTATACATCAGCACAGTGTTTTCTTTTAGTTTGCTTAATTTGGTAATAATTATATTGATGTAATATTTGTGCAGATGTTTCAGTGCCTGCATATAATGTATAAAGACACTGAGAAGTTTCTGCATTATGTGCTGGCACAAGCAGTGCAGTATAACATATAATGTGCTTTAAAGGCCTGCAGAATTCACATCTTAGGCCCGTATCCTACAACTCGTTGCCTTTTTCTTAGCTCTTTATGACATTTGTGTGGGTTTGTGCACAAAAAAACAATACGTCATTTTTTGCATTACCGTTTTCCAACATCTCTTTATCCTTTAGAATTAAACAGGGTCTTTCTGTTACTGCACCTTTAAGACTCATATATGTAAATGAGCTTGTTTCTGATTGGCTGCCTTGATTGTGCCTCATTCAAAAAGCTGTTTAGGCTCAAACTTATGACTTAAGTGTGAATGGGGGGGCTGGCTGAATAGAAGAGTGAGTTAGATATCGCTAACTTCGTATCTCCATTTTTGTCATTTTGTACAGAATTTGAAAACACCAGCTGACCTCTACAATGTGCCAAATTTCATGATGAACAGAACAACAGAAATGCTTCAGTTCCATTAACTTCCACTCAAAATTAAGAATGTTTTTTCCTTCTCCTGTAAAATTAACATTTTGGTGACACAAGGTGATGTCATGAAAGTTACTTTTTGAAACTTTAGCAGTGTTTACACACTACATCAAACTCTTTTATTTAAGAAAAAAGTGAGTAAAGTTTGATTTTGGGCCCTTTAAATGGCAAAGTTTACTTGTAGCTTCACATCACTTCACATCTTTTAGCTTGTTATTTCCTGCCATGTCAGTTTCAGTTAGGAAACAGCAGTCACAGCGTTTTGCTGGCTTGGAGCAGGGGTTTCCAAATTGATGTCAAAAAAATCAAGTCCCCAACCTTTCAATAAGACCCAATTGCACCATTCCGTAACCAAAATTACAGTTCATCTGCAGCGTGTTATGTCTGCTTGTCAGGGAGGCTGTGGCTATCTATGAATATTGTCAGTTTCACTTACCAGTTTGGTAAGAGGTTATTACGAGGGCTTGTAACATGTAGCTTTTGAACCTTGGGATGAGACAGTTCGAGTGTGCAGTGTGGCCGCTTCAGGCTTCAGTCCTTTTTATTGACCGCTTTTGTAGCACCACCTGATGGTGGCGATGAGAATTGCACTCTGTATTGAGGCAAGCCTTGTGGCTTTGATGAGCAATAAAATCAAAATTTTCAGTCTTATGCTTTTCTCATTATATACAGTAAAACACTTACGATGATGTTGTCTGGTCTGATCTGTGACAGGGATCTGTTCATAGAGTGAAATAGAGTTATGTTTTCTAAATATGATGTTATGACAGCGATTCTTAGTATAAGTGGCTTCAAAGTGAAGAGTGATCCATTGCATGCTGTTTTATTCAGCCGACACATAGAGTCGGCTGAAAAAACACATTCTCTGCCAGGGCTGTGCTGGTTGTCCTCACACAAAGATTACTGTCAGCTTTTATTGTTCTCGTAACTTAAACCCGACTTATCTCTACCTTAGACTGCTGTAGGAGTTATTATGAGGCCTCTGTAAGTGTGGACCTTGTGGAGTCTGCAGTTTGTCATGCTGGGTGTGTGTGTGTTTGTGTGTTTATCAGCAGGCGGCTGTGAGAATGAGGAACGCGTGTTCCGGGAGCGCATGCGGCCCAGGAAGAGGCAGGGCGCGGTGCGGAGGAGAGTGCATCAGGTCAACGGACACAAGTTCATGGCCACCTACCTGAGACAGCCCACCTACTGCTCACACTGCCGCGAGTTCATCTGGTGAGTGCAAGGCCTCCTGGGTCATTCAAGGATAACGCAGACTGTCCGTCAAATGATGGGTGTATGTTTGTAAACCCCTTTTTTCAAATTTGTATGTACTATTTCTACCCAAGCACTCTCCCCAGTTTAGTCGTGATCAGTCTGCCTGCTAGGTGTGCCTCCCCCATGGCCACAAGTACATCATGAGTGGGGCATCTGGAAACAATGGAGGGCCAGTGTATCCACACACCACAAAAAAGGCTAAACAGCCATGTATTCAGAGAGAATCAACAGGAGAGCCACATTTATCGTTAAACATGCTCTCTTAAAAAGTAAAGATGCATCGAAAAATGATTCGTGGTTCAAATGTTGCAAAAAACAGTTGCGCATAAATACAATATATCAGCACAATTAACTGTCTGTCAGTTCTTCTTTCAACAAGAGTTGTATTGATGTGTCCACTTAACACATTTGGAAAGCAGTTTTTTGAGTGTACTGAGTGAGATTCTATAGAGCAATGCCATAGAACAGGCGTCGGCAAGCCAGATGTTAAGAAGAGCCATTTTGACCTTTCAACAAAAATCAAACCACCTTGAGAGCCTCAACATTTTATGTCCATTTTACCGTTTTGGCTGTAAATATGTCTCAGTATGTGCTAATGTCCTAGTATAGGCTATTATTAAAACACAAACGAAAACACAGGCTTACCTTGCTCTGCTTTAAGCTTTAGCTCAGCTATAGCTGCTTTTCTCTCATCTCCAGCAGGAAGCTTTTCCTCAAAAGTAGAATAGTTTTTTTTTTTACGAGGCTGGAATCAGCTTCATGTTTGCAGCTTCTGATGCTCCAGGATGTAACTGCTGCACCATTTAAGGTGGAATGGGAAAATTTGAACTAGAAGCTGGCAAACGGGTAACTGACTTCAGCTTCGTGACTTTTTAGTGTTTTACAGTTTCTTGTTGCAGATTAAACGTATCAGGAAGACAACTGAGCTCTTATGAATGCAAATAAGTCTCCAAATTTTCATTGTTCATCTTTCTCTGTGCCTTTTTGTTAGCTACTAGCCATGCGAGACTGTTTTCTGCATTGTTTTGGTGACCAGCAGTCTGCGCGGCAACCTTCAAGTTTAAAGGCTGGTGAAGTAGCAGTTATACATTAACTCCAGCATTTAAAACCATTTAGTGTTAAACTGTGTTGAACGATCAGCAGAGCTTTATTTTACTGTAAAGGAGGATTATTTTATTTTTACCTAAATATCTAGCTCTGCTATGGAGCTGCAACAGATCAGTGAAAGAGCCGCATGTGGCTCCAGAGCCGCATTTTGCCAAGCCCTGCCATAGAGGGACTGCTTTTGGTTCCATAAAGAGTCTTTCAATGGATTATTCTTTAAAGAATATTTGTTTAATAGTAGATGTGAATGTAAAGAGTCTTTTTGGAATTAAAGAATGTCCACAGGATGTAAATGTTCTGTAATAGTTCCTAGAACTGTACGTCCAAGCTAAGAACCTTTTAGGAACCTCTAGTTTTAAGAGTATAGCAGCAAATTGCCTCTCAAACAAGGCTTCATTATCAGATAATGTAGTAATATTCTCATATATTCTCGGAATGTGAGATGGGGTAATTGTGAAGGTACTGAACTGCAGAGGTAACACTGAGGTATTTTTACAAGATATGATGCCACAGATAATGTACAGGTTCAGCTGCTTACAGCTTCTCTGACACCATGAAAACACCTGATTTGCATGTCGAGGCCAGTTCCACATAATGAAATACAGTTTACCTTTTTCCATTAGCAGAGTTAAGGACATGTCCTTTACCTGTTGGAATGTGTGTGGCCTGTTTACATATTTTTTCAGTCCATAGCAATAAATTATTTTCCAAAAATTCCTGCTCTGAACTCTGTATAGTCAAATTACATTGATGCAGACACAGTAGGAAATGTCTGGTCTCCAGCAAAGTCTTTATAACTTTAAAGCTGCATTTCCAATTATTATTTAGAGCTTTCATTATACAGAGAAATAGCAGGATGATATAGTGTATATATGAGGGAGAGAGAGAGAGAGACAGAGAGAGAGAGCAGGTTGAGCAGGTGAGTTCACATTAAACTGAACTCCTGCTTACAGACTTTTTCTAAACTCTGAAACTGTTTGCACAAGACAGTGCCAGTGTGTTTACTGTGTGTCTGTATGTACACTGCCATCTGTGTGCAGTCCGGCTGAAGCCTCAGTCAGCATTGTCTTCCCAAGCCGGAATCTTCATGGCTCGCTTACGTTTAGCGGACTGTGTTGCCATGGCGACAGTGGGAAAAGCCCTCAGGCCAGGGGAGGAGCATACAGTATGAAGTTACTGAGTACATTAGGCACACTCTCCATGCTGAAGCTTCCCCTGTATGTATTAGAGCTCCCTTATATTCAGCGTATATGCACTGCCAAGTGCACCACTATGAACTTCTGGTGGACCAACTGTGCTCTGGAGAAAAAAAAAAAGATAAGCTCCTGGCTTGTAGACTAGTACTTTATATTGATTTTCAGTTTTAGTGGCATCGGTAGATAACAAGCTTTATGTCCATGATAGCTTTCTCTTCCATATAAAAGTGGTGTCCTTGTTGCCAAGCAGTTTTTATTGTTTTAATTGTATTTTGTGCACTTTGCACACGGTTTCCAGAACATTAAGTGCAAACAATGGATGTCATTTGAAAAGACAGTTCAAAATACATTAAAACCAAGGAAACAAGGTGAATTCAGCAAAGTGTTTTGGTAAATGCTCCAGGGAACCAACATAAAAGATATGGGTTATTCCCATACCATTGCACTGGTGAACAGAGTATGAATATTGATATGTAATATTATTGATATGTGATAAGTGTAACACATAGCCTGTTATATGGAAAAGCGTCACTAAGGTAACTTCACTGACTGTAGCAGCACTGACAAAATTACTAAAGCCTGAGCTTTTCTAGTGTGTCTTTGCATTCATGTTATTTTATTTGAAAATGATTTAATGTTTCATCAGTGACATCACTGACACAATCCTTTTTTCAGTATTTTAGCCAAACTTATCAAAAAAAAATACAATGAGATTTGACTGGCCATGGACCTCTCAGAGTTAGTCTTTGTCCTTTGAGATATCCATACGAGAAGGAATTCAGAGACCTTCCTGCTTTTAAAAGCACCTGATTTCCAATAGAAATGGCCCAAAATGACAAAATAGTCTTTTACATTAACATATATCAAAGTTGTGAATGTTTTTTCCTTGTACTATAAAGATATCATTCTAGAGATAAAAGGTTTTGTTACAACATTTTATGCAAATTAAGGATCATTATGTATTGTATATGCAGTTTTATGCAAAAGTGTGGGCACCCTTTGGTTAAATTACATATTTTATTAATGAAAAAAAGTGAAAATATACATTTTCACTCCACTGACAAAAGATCTTCGGGACAAGATTTATTACCAAAATAAAATTATATTTTTAGATTAAAAATCATATCAACATAGGACAGACAAAAATTTAACGCATTTTTACAATTTGGACAAAATTGTTTCACGTAACAATAAAATTCCAGCATCTGCACAGTCACTGCTTTGCCTAATTTAGGAATAGATCAAAGAATACATATATGTTAACCTTCTTTATAAATGTGTTAAACAGCACTGAGTACTTATATATAATATTTTATTTGGATATTAAAGTTCCTGGAACACAGTTAGACATTTTTTCACCTAAAGTGTTTTGTTATTAGTACAGGGCTTTACACTTATAGGAACCTTATAGCCATCTTGTCCGTTTTATTATAACTGATCAAGTTAGACTTTAGTTGAATTTTGTCTATATCTAACATGATTACATGTAGTAGTTTTATAATATAGAACCTGTAGGCCTAAAAGAAATGAGCTACACTATTAAGTTTGAATGGCTGCAAGCTTCTTTATGTCACACCGCACAGAAGTATCTATATGGTATGACACCATAATAGCCAAATGTTGGTAACTGTATACATGCATGACTATTATTAAAAATCCTGCCTTACATATAATGATAACTGTTCCAGGCCATGGTGGTCATGACCATTTTAACTCTTAAAATATAATGATAAATGATCATGGCTATAAGAAGCGTGTGCCACTTTACCTGAAAACCGTGCTTATTCAGGTCACTTTACTTGATGTCCCTGCCTTGGGTAAAACCCCCAGTCACCGTTCTGTGCTTGATGCACTAATAACAGCACCACACACACTATCATGTACCATGCCACCTCCATGTCAGTGTCACTGCTGTGCTGAGAATGGTTCACCACCCAAATAATATCTGGTTAACAGCGGTCCTGTGGTCAGAATCTGACCAATAATTAACCCTTCAAACGGACAGGGCCACCAGCAGGCACAAGGACTTATTACACACTTCTGTAACCTAAGAATAACTCGACCAGTTTGCACTGAAGTCCATGTAGTTACTGAATAATAAGCCTTACCATGTAATAAGCCTTGGATTTTAAGGGGTCAGTGGAGTAGAGGATGTCAAGACTACAGTCTGTAATTGTAAGCCTATATATTGGACCTCTAAGGAAGGTGAACCTCAAAGTAGATCCACCTTCTCAAAGGTCAAAACTAATAAAGTGGATGGTGAGTGTATGTCTATGGTGAAAACATGCTCAATCATAAAGTAAATAAAGACATTTCTCTTTGTTTCCACACAGGGGTGTTCTAGGAAAGCAGGGCTATCAGTGTCAAGGTAAGGCCTGTTATATCCTGTCAACTACACATTTATCTCTGCACTCACTTCATCTGATACATAACAGAAATAAACATATCATCACTAACATATCAAAACCCTAATAAGTCATTTTTTTGTCTTTAGTTTGTTACAACATTCAGAAATACCAGCTGCCATTTAACTTCTGTGAATACAGCATAATGAGTGGAACAATAGAAATGGCCCAAAATGACAAAATAGTCTTTTACATTAACATATTTCAAAGTTGTGAATGTTTTTTCCTTGTACTATAAAGTTATCATTCTAGAGATAAAAGAGTTTGTTACAACATTGTATGCAAATTGTTTTTAAGGATCATTATGTATTGTATATAAGGTGTGGGCACCCCTTGGATAGATTACATATTTTATTAATGAAAAAAAGTGAAAATATACATTTTATTCTTTGTTTTTCATGCTCAGTGTGCACGTGTGTGGTCCATAAACGCTGCCATGAGCTCATCATAACTAAGTGTGCAGGCCTGAAGAAACAGGAAGACATGGCGGAGGAGGTGAGAAACTGTGACTGTCTAGATCATTCACGCTGTATAGAACATGCTCCCTGACGTTCTTTAAAAAAATAGTTCAATTAAGAGTTTTACTGACATGACTGACCCCGTTTGGAGCCCGTATTGTGTAGTGAGAGCCCTATTTAAGTTAAAAATGCACAAACAAACAAAAAACAATATGTAATCACTTCATCATGTAGAGCTACCCTGTTGACTTCTGTGGTGATACAGTTTTACCTTGGCAGAATGTGGATGCTGGTAACTAGAAGAAACGTTTGATGGCAGTTAGAAATGAGAACTTCATAAATGTAAATAATACGCCTTATTGGTAACAGCGTAGCAGATTTACTAGATGTTAAGAAAAATGTTGAGTTTAATATCAGTGGATATTTGTTGCAAATGCAGGTAGTGCTAGTTTATAAAGATGTTGTTTAAGTGTTCTTTTCTCAAAGAGTCTTAATGTAGTCAAAGAGCTGGCAGCCTTGATGACAGCAAATTTCGTGCTCCTGATCCCTCTTTGTTGTGTGTTCTTGGTCGCCCCCTGCAGGTGGGCTCTCAGCGCTTCAGCGTGAATATGCCTCACAAGTTCAGTATTCACAACTACAAAGTCCCCACGTTCTGTGACCACTGTGGCTCGTTATTGTGGGGGCTGATGCGACAAGGGCTGCAGTGCAAAGGTGAGTGAAGCGATGAGTTAGAGATGGTAGAAGTCTGTGGCGGGTTAAGAGCTTTGTGTGGAGCTGCGCGTTCAAATACATCCACTCAGATGCACTGAAATGTATCTTAACATCTTTGGCCATCTCTCTCTCTCTCCCTACCTCTCTCTCCCTACCTCTCTCTCCAGTTTGTAAGATGAATGTACACAGACGCTGTGAAAGTAACGTGGCCCCTAACTGCGGGGTGGACGCACGGGGTATTGCCAAAGTGCTGTCTGACCTGGGGGTGACACCCGATAAAATCTCCAGCAGCGTACAGAGGAGGAAAAAGGCAAGTGGGGGGGAACAGAGGACTGTCTTAGGCTCAGAATGGGCACGACTAAAGCTGGGAAATTACTTAACTTGCTTAATTACCCTAAATGTTTAAACATGCTTTCAAGCTCTACTGGCAACACTGGCTCTCTTAACCCTTAGAAGTCTGTAGTTTTTGTTTACATTGATATATTATCTAAATATAATTATGTAATTAGACATTTATTATCATAGTTAGTTACACTATAAATTACATGTACATTCTACTTACTTTTTACATCGACAAGATTGATTTCTGACTTTTTTCTGGTTGTTTTGTTGCCAATCCCAAAAATATGCCTACAATGTAAAGAATGTTTTTTTCCCCTCCAAACAAGGCTGTACACACAGTAGTAACTTTTCGTCAAGTACAAATCATAAACAGATCTTTCATCATCAATTTACAGACAAAATCTTTGAGTCTAAATAAAGCATGGTGATAACTGCAACTTTTAACACTAGAAAGGCCAAATTCCTTAACTGTAGAGGTCATTTTGACGTTTGAATTTTACAGGCTTATTTATACCACAATTGAAAATAATTAAAAAAAAACAAAGATGTTTGTAATGTTAGGATAAGTCACAAAAATGTCTGGATGACAAATTTCAATTATTAGTTTTAAAATCATTTATTAATTAAACCGTAAGTGTCAGTACTAGTACTGGAAGACAGAGACTATGCAGTTGGCTTTCAATGTCGGTGGCCAATTAATCAAATTGGCCGTCACAGGAAATTGGATAAATTGTTCATGTAAACTGCTTGAAACAGACTTATATTCATAAAACTAGCATATATATATATATATATATATATATATATATATTATATATTATATATATATTATGTAAATCTCTCAATTTAGTTAAATGTTATTTAATATAATCAGCATGAAATTCATTCATAACAGATCATTCTGCTGCAACTTGTACATTTTGTGGGCTGTATGTGTGAATACAGGCCAGACGTAAAAGCAGGGCACATTTGCCACCCCAGTAAAAAAGTGATGTTTCTGCAGTTGGGACTCAACCGGTCACTAGCTCGAGTGTTGGCATTTCATTAATGTCCAGTTAAAGTGCAAGGTTTGCCATATATTTACAGCCAGCTGAAGCTTTATAAGGAATTTGATGGGTTTGTATGCCATAGCATGTAATGTTTGATCTACTCTGTTGTATTGTTAGTGTTTATTCTATTATAGTGATATTTTGTGATAAGGAGAGTAGGCTACTGAATAACCACTGCTAAAATAACAGCCCACTCGCTGGAATAGTGGACAAAAGAGCTGGCTCACGGAGACGAAAAGCAGTCTAATGTTACTGATATCGGTCTCATAACAGTGTCAGACTAAAATATGCATTAACTAAGTAAAAGTCAGGGAACAGACATGGGGGTTTTATTTTGCCGAAACAAAATGACCACGTTGACCTTTCTAGTTTTAAACTATAAGATTAAACTATAAGATCTGGGAGAAACATAATATTGTAGGCTCACAGAAATATGGGAATATGACCAGCTCACTGCAACATGCAGTTTTTGATTGGACAGCTTTTGTTCACCACTTTTTGCTATAAATCCCTTATGTGGCAGTTAGTCTCATTTCTTCTGGCTTCACTTCACCCTTCTCCAATCACATTCTCTTTTTTCAGCCTCTGCAGTGGATTAGACTGCTCTGCTTATCACTCAGAGTCCAGTCCAAACTCCTCTTTAAGCTTATTTCACTCTTTCATCTTATTACTGTTTTTCTGTGAAGTAATGAAATTTACTAACTGCCTTGCTTTACTTGTAAAGTACAATGTAAGTAAGCTTTGCTGGCTGAAGCCCTATTTGAGCTGGATTAGTTTTACCTGCCGTGCTACTCTAATTTCAGTGATTACAGATGAGAGCTATGGCTTTAAAGCAGTATGAGTCCACCGTCTGCAACAATGAGTAATACTTCTAGAGTGAAATACCTTTTGTAATTCACTGAACCTGGAATTTCCCAGTATTCAAAGTGACCTCATGGCAATGTAATAGTGAAAGATGATAATAGACAACAACACCTGTTTATAGCTTATGCCTCTAAAATGACACATAACATATACAGTTACAGTTTATCTTCATTTTAGATCACCTGTAAGCTACGGTATTTGTTTTCTGTTTCTTTTTTCCATGCTTGCTGTGTGCTATGTTGTTATTGTTATTGGGTGCATTACCGCTGTGTAACACTGACGTTTACATCCAGGCTATGACATTTTAGTCTTGGCTGTCTGTGATAATTTGGGGGAAATGACAGATGCTTTATCCTCTACATCATGGTCCAGTCAAACCCCTTACAGATTACATTACAGAACCTCCTCTCGTAATCTAGGTCAAGTATTGCTTAAAAAACTTGCAAGTTTGGCTGCATTTCTACATAAGCAGGGTTCTGTATTGCTGCTGGCTGATTGGGATGGTAGAATCATACACATAGAATGTATTGTATTATGTATAGTCTGGCATGGATTGATTTTGATGGTACTGTATTCTCCACAGATTAGTCAAGGTCCAGACCCACAGCCTCTACCGATATCTCCACAAACAGAGGAGGATCGCTCCAAATCTGCCCCTACTTCACCATGTGACCAGGGTATGCACACACTCACCACCTGTCAGCAATAATACATGTTTATAACCTAAACTGAACCACTTAAAGGTCTGAACCTGTAGATAATATTTAGTCAAATACCAAGGCTGTTTGAAGGCTAAATGAAGTGTTACTGTATAGCAGGGACAGTTTCCAGTGCACACCCATTGATGCGTACACTTCAAGCTGAGTTGTTCAGATGAGAACTTACAGCAAACACTTTAAAATGATTTCGTTAATATTTGAAAATTGCCTCTCTCTGACTCTCTTCATGCAGACATGAAGGATCTGGAGAATATCAGAAAGGCTCTTTCGTTTGACCACCGCGGAGAAGAGACGAAACCAGCAACGCCTTCATCTCCAAACGAGGGCGGAGCCGAAGAGACGGGAGAAGGCAGAGAAAACGGGGAAGTGAAGACGCTACAGTCGAAAAGAATGAGTCTAGAGGACTTCTCCTTCATCAAAGTGCTTGGCAAGGGCAGCTTTGGGAAGGTGACCCACTCTACAATTCATCATTCAGTTACCAACATATCAACGTTTATGCCAATCTTTCAATATACTATCAATATCAATCTTATTATATTATGATATGATATTATATCATATAAATCTTGTATCTGTGAAACAGTTATATTACTTTACCTGATGGTTCACTGTATTTTCAGTTTTACACCTGCTTATCCAGCTTTTCAGCTTTTCTTCTGAAATCAAGAGTATTAATAGGGAGTTTGTCCCCCTTTTGCTGCAGTGAGATCCTCTACTTTTCTGAAAGGCTTTAGACTAGATGTTGGAATGTTTGATTCAGCCACGAGAGCATTAGTGAGGTCAGGAACTGATGTTGAGTGATTAGTTCTGGATCTCAGCACCTAATCCAACTTTTAAGCATGTTGAAAAAGACTTCAAAATAATATATAAAAAATAATATAACGTAGTATTTATGTCAGCATTTATGAAGTCAGTATGATTTTTTTTCTCAATAATGACTGACGCTTAGAGTGATACGGCTAATAATTTAAGCAATAAGCTTAAAGAGAAATTCCACCATAACTCATTCATTAGGATGTAAACAAAGGGTGATTCAGGGTGATTTGTTATGAAATGCTCTGTTCTAGAAAAACTTAGAGTCAGAATCGTTCACTGTGGTGGTGATAGGAACCAGACGTCTGACAAGTTTAACATCTCTAAGAGCTCCCTCACAGACAATTATTACATGAGATGGTTATGAATACACTGTCTGATGTCTCAGACATTGTTTTACAGTTGTTTTGCGCTAAAGTAGTGACATGAAACCTGAAACCATTCATTGCAGAGGGGTACATGCAGGGTGTACCAAAATAGTCCCCAAAGAAAACATTTTTTCAGATTCACCACTGTTTTACCCTTAACAACATTACTTCAAAAACTCGGGAAACGTGTAGGTTCACTGGTTTCTTTGGATAGTAAATTAAATGTGACCTCTGGTTCTGATCAACACCACTGCAAAGAAATCTGAGTCGGTTTGCTATCCAGTGTCGACCAGAGGAGGGTTGGGGGCTTGGACACAGATTTTTCTGTAAAGCTGCTTTCTGACAACACCCGTTGTAAAAAGCACTACATAAATAAACTTTGCTTGCTTGCTTGCTTGGTTTCTCTACACTGAGCCATTTCACATCAAACCACTCTGAATGACTTTGTTTAGATCGCAACAATTGATTTATGCAGAAACTTCACTGGAAGTCATTATAAAACTTAAAGGTAGGGCCTTCTAGCTTGGAGCATGAAATGGTATCATGTTTTTAAGTGTCAGAAATGTGTGCCTCATCCTTCCTCTCAGCTACTGCTACTCTTGCTGATATATAACTGCCCATAAAGCATATTTTCCTTGGATGGATTCTGATAGTGGCCGAGAATTTGGCTAAGCCGTGCTCTTTTGGTAAGCTTTTCTGATTCCCAGCCTTCCTTAGGTTGACATAAACGGGGGGCATAAACTGGCCTGCTTATGAAATGCTTCATTTGTGAATTGCTTTCACGGCCTATAGCAGCTGTAAAAGGACTCCATTACTCTCTGTAATGCTCCTCTAAATCACTGCCCTCATCTTCCCTGATCTTATGGAATATCATATATATCAATAAGAGATAATAGCACAAGTCTGTCAGTCTGAGCTCCCTTCCTGCTGCATGCTGCAGGCATTAGTGATGGGTTTGTGTCTGGGTGTCCATGCAGGTGATGTTGGCTGAGCTGAAAGGCACAGACGAGGTGTACGCAGTGAAGGTGCTGAAGAAAGATGTGATTCTGCAGGATGATGATGTGGACTGCACTCTAACAGAGAAACGCATCCTCGCTCTGGCCAGAAAGCACCCTTACCTGACCCAGCTCTTCTGCTGCTTCCAGACAAAGGTACAAACCTCATCCACACTCTGAATAAGAGCATCAAATATTTGTCCAATCCTGATAAGACCTGAACGTTCATTCGCATTTCGGTTCGGTCAGGTTTGGCCATCATTTCCCAGATGTTTTTTGCACTCAGATTTTGACCTTTGGGTTTCCCCCAGCCCATCTCTGCACACGGATTTTCTGCTCTACTTTATTCTTTCTCCACACAACTATGCAATGTTAAACTATCTAAATATGCCATTCTGTAATTACATATGTTGTTGTATGCATGTGCATGAATGGATGCCAGGTTTTGACAGACGTTTGTTGGGCTACAGTCAGGGTCAGGTTCTAAGCTTGGTGCTGTGGGTCCAGTCTGACTCTGAGTCTGAGTTTAATTTTTAAGTTTTATGCCCTAAAAATATTAGGCATACTGTCTTAGCACAGCCTGTTTCATTCTGGCTTGTGGTACTCATTTAATTCCAGTTTAAAAAGCATAGTGCTGGTTGCCATAATTGACCACTAGGTGGAGATCTAACCTCACACCACATGACCTCTACAACAGTTGCCACCAACCCTCTTCCTGGAGATCTACCTCCTTGCAGGTTGTGTGCTGAAAAAATCACCAAAGTGTGGAGTTGGACACCCTGTTTTATTATTCTATGCAAATGCTTGATGTTGACGGTTTCATTGCTATTTAGGGGTTTAAGGCTTTCATTTCCAGTGTTATATTTCATTTGCATGTAATGCGAAAGGGATGCATCTGGTTACAGGATCTTTTTCATGTTTTGCATTGAACCCAGTTTTGAAGTTCATCTTAGCATCGAGCGTGTTTAGATAGATACGCGTATGTGTTTAGATTATGGTTGTCAGACAGTTTAAACAATGAATCTTGATTAATCCTATTATCTTGTTTAGTTAATTGTCATTATTCGCATCGCAGGACCCTGAGAAACATTTTGCCACTTAAAAAGCAGTTCATGTTGTTATGAGCGGAAAAATAAGCTTCATCAGTATGTAGTTATTACTTTCAGTAATTCAGTAGCATTGATTTCATTGTGTAAACGCAGAGTTTATATGAACTGAGGGCTAAAATCATGTGAATGCAGGGTGAACATGAAAATAAGATGAACACAGTGTCCAGTTTTCATCACCAGTGTGCAGGGAGAACAGCAGTGACTGCATGTCCAAACTCCTCCTCAGTTGTAGTGTCTTGCTTGCAGATCACTGTCCTGCATAGTCTCCTGAAGCGTCCTGCATTGCTGATACTACTGATATTGCCACGTCATCGCTGTGTTTTTCTTCAGCGTTTTGTTTTTAATGTTCTGTTTTATTAGACTTGCTAGCCTAAAGAGTGATCTGATCGGACTGCGGGTAGCAGGGTGGAGTGTAGGTACATTGATTTATATTAAATTCTTTTGTCGTGCACCTGCTGTACATGGACAAAATAAATAGCTCTTCACGAGTAAAACAGGCCAAGATATCAGAAAACCACTTGCTAGATGGGGTTGGTGGGGCCATATTATTGATATTATTGGTTAGTAGTATTTTCCCCACCCTGCTGGTGCATGGTGATGTCATCAAAAATGAGAAGACGTTTTAGAGGCAGACAAAACTCATTATATTTTGATGGAAGTTGACAGGGAAACAAGAACTATGTCTTTTAAATGTTATCATATGATGAATTTGTGCTTAATATGACTAGGAACATGAAGAAGCAAGGTAAAAAAAAGGAGCAGTCCTCAGAAACCTCCAACTTTTTGCTTTATGTTGTGATTGAGAAAAATGTGGACTGTGTTGGGGGCCCTGAGAACTGGTATGAGAGCCGTAAAGAGCCAATTGTGTTTTTCAAATCTGTGAATCGGAAGAACTTCTTTAAAGTTTAAAGAACGTCCCCATAATGTAAAAAGTCAAGATTTTTCTAGAACCGTACATCCAAGCCAAGAATTAATAAGCTTTATTTTTAAGGCCGCTTCCACACCTACCTTGTTTGGTGGGGATCTATTATATTTTTCTTCGATTTGGACTATTTTGACAAGTGTGAACAATCTATCCGTACTCATGTTCTCACCAAATAACCAAACAAATAACCGCTTCTAAGTGAACTCTGATTCAGTTCCCCACTGGTGGGGACCGCTTTTTACAATGTTCCTCACCAAACTAGGGGATTCAATATCAGAGCATGCCATCTTCTAGCAACTCATCATTGCTATACCAACCACATAATATGCCTGGTTTAACATTGAGTCGTCACAAACGCTCATATGGTTCTTACAGCAGGAGCTGTTGCTAATAACAGCAGAGCAGCCATAAAATGCCTTTTACTTTGGCACATGGATCATGGAGCATATTTTGGCCCAGCATTAGCGACCAGATTGGTTAAATTCACATTGACAAACCAATCATAAAAACACAGGAAGCAGGTAAGGTTTATTATTTAGGGTTTAATAATTGCTTTGATTGTGATACACATAGATGTTAAGCATCCCTGTTTGGTATTTTCTGTTTTTTAGGGTGGCAAATGTGGGAGTAACAGAGCACTTGTATCCCTGCAACATTTCTGACCAATTGACAAACACCCACATGTGTAATTTGGTGCACTTTAGCCACTGCAGTGTGAAACCAACCAAACTAAATGAAAAAGATACAATCACCAAAACCCGAACTCTGGCTTGGACTTCAGCAAACAAGCTAGGTGTGAAAACATCCTAGGAGTGCTGATTATATCTAGTTCCTAGTCAAAAAATACGCTCTGTTCCTGACCGTTGACTCCCGCTGCCCCAAAATCTGCAGATTAGAGTCGGACAGCACAGACTCGAGGCTATAATCGAAGTAGAAGTTGTATAACGTAACCCAGGCTTTAGCGGACGCTGTGCAATAGAGAAACTAGAGCATCCTTGTGTCTTTAATTGTGGGTACACAGCTTTCTTTATTTGTCTGCTTTGCGGTCTGTACGTCTGACTCATACTCATACGTGGTGAATAGAGGCGGGTTTAGGGAGCCTTCACCTCGCTCGGCCTTTTTGTTTATTTTCCCCCGGCTCGAACCTGCAGTTGGTCATAATGATGGCGTCCTACTCCCTCTAATTTATTTATTTCTACCGTTTCCCCAAACAAGCCCGAGAACATTGTGTCCTGGCGGTCGAGAGCAGAGGGAGGGGAGAGAACGGGGGTGAGTGGGTGGGGCCAGCTGAGGAGGAGCAAGAGGAAGGGAAAGGAGCTGTGGATACAGGCTGGAGGAAGTGGAAAGAGCAAGTTTGAGGATGGAAGAAGGCAGAAGAAAGGTAATGAGTCCTGTGAGGAGGGCCGAGAGGAGGACAGCAGTGCTGAGGGGCATAATGCCGGACAGTGGTGTTGGGTTTGTTTTTAGGCCATCCGGGATCTAAAGATCATGTCCACAGGTTTGACCATGGGTCAAACTTTATCTGAAAGTGAGAATTTAGCAAAAATGAATTCTTATGAAGATATAAACCTTGTCAGGTTATAATCTCAAACCTACTGACATTGTAAGTTTGTTGTATGGCTTGAATTATATCTACTTTATTTGTCCATCTTATAGTGAAAAACATGTTGAAACTGTGTCAGACATTCAAGGGAAACATGTTTAAATTTGATTTAAATGAGTGTTTCTCGACCCTGGTCCTGGAGGCCCACTGCCCTGCACAATTTACCATTTTCCTTGCTTTAATGCACCCACTTCAACTCAGTAAGGGGCTGTTAATGAGCTGATTAGTTGGATCAAGTGTGTTGAGAGCAGGCAAAACACTGAAAAGGGCAGGGCAGTGGGCCTCCAGGATCAGGGCTGAGAAACACTGATTTAAACTATTGCTTTAAGCTACTGGTAATTAGAGGCATCAGAAAAATAGCATGAACACAAAACTAAAAGAAACGTTTTACAAAAATCAAATGAACCCACTTATCCTAGATGTAGTTGATCAGCCAAGACATGTTTGGAGTCCAAATTTTGCTTCTTTAGCTTAAAACTGGAGCTGCGAGGCTAAAACTCAATAGTCACCCAAATACCCCAAATGGTTTCTGTAAAAATACATCAAGAAAATTCTTTAGACTAGTTGATGTGGTTTGTGACACAGTAGGACAGTGTGGAATAATTAAACCCTTGTGTGGTGTTGATGTGTTTGTTACTCAGTGGTCTGGTGGATCTACCACATTATTGTGTTTTAAATCAATACAGTCATAACAATTTATGTAAAAATACCAGTTTAAAATGTCACAAGTGGCCAGCATAGGGTTCTCCTTTAGCAGCTGTAGCCAGTCAGCAGCCTGTCCATGTTGTCCACCCTCACACACACACAAACACACACACACACACACACACACACACACACACACACACACACACTAACAGCAGGCCATGTAGGAGGAGAACAGATAGTAGGACACAGCACCTCCACACTTTTACTTCCCGCAGGTAAAAAGCAAAATGTGGACCCCAAACATTTCTTGGCTTTGAGTAACTTGTGCAAATTTAATTTTTGCCAAACTCATCCTTCATGTTTGTCAGATATGTCTAAACTGCCATTACCATCACAATTACTGCTTCTCTCTCTCTCTCTCTCTCTCTCTCTCTCTCTCTCTCCCTCTCTCTCTCTCTCTCTCTCTCTCTCTCTCATCTAACACCCATTGCGTTCATTGTTCTCAGTCTGTTCTAATGGGCACATTAGCCATGTCTTTGCTCAGTGCTAAAACAGGCGATTGTTGTAGACCTTACATCACGGGGTGCTGATCCTTATCAGCCCTGATGTGTATTCCATATGCTGTTTGTTTTCTTTTCCCCACCACACACCCCTTGCACACACACACATTGCATTAGCCCACTTGGAACAAATGTTCCATGCAGCATCTCTTTGTCACTTTGCCACTTCGGTGCCGTTATTTTGTATTTTTCTTTTATTCTGCACAATTTCCTCTGCCTCACTTTCTTTCTGTCTCTCATTCTCCCTGTGTGTTTCACTACCACACACTAATACACGAAGACTAGGCCTGTGCCAGTAACAGAGACCTCTT